CCTTGAAATATAAAAATCTAACGTACCAACATTGTATACTCATTAAAAAATCATAATTTTACATGACATTTTTTTTTTTAATATGACACATCACACAATATTTGCCGTGAACATGTAGGATTAATTTAATGTTTGTACTACAGATTAAAGCAATATCATACTAATATCATAATAGTGGCAGAACTTAGAGTGAAAATATCTAAAAATACATAATAAACTCCCTTTCCCTGGAATTCATGAATTGCTAAATTGCAAAACAGGGTGGACTTCTTGCCCCCCCCCCCCTAGGTGGGGGCAAGCCTTCTTAAGGGAGGGCCATGCCCCCCCATTAATCAGGCTAGGGGAGGCCTTGCCCCCCTTGACCCCCACCTAGTTGCGCGCCTGGGCATTTTTCGTACATTTTACAGTACAATGGGTTTTCAGCGGAAAAGGAAAATCGTCTCGTGAAAAGTTCTCTTCTTTCGCAAAAAAATATTATCGAAATTTTCGCTTCAATCTCTTTTGCGAAAAAAATAATGCAAAATTTTACAAAAAAAAATCATCAAAAAAGACTAAAGGAACTGAGTTTTTGTCACAAACTCTACTTTTCTAATCTCTATATCTTTGCTACCCAATGTCGTAGACCTTTGATATTTCAAACTATGAATTCTGTTAGACAAAATAATCTAAGTTTGAAATATCAAAGGTTTACATCATCAGATTGTAAAGATATAGGCATTAGACAATTTGAGTTTGTGATAAAAACTCAGTTCCTTTTGAGAAAAATGACGCATACAAATTTTTTTTTTGCGATAATATTATCGCGAAATGCTAAATTTTCGCTTCGTATTTGCATTTTTCGCTTCATTCATTTCGCGAAAAAATACGAAATTTCGTAAAACAGTTTGCGAAATATGAACGAAAATTTTCGTTTTTTTTCGCAATTTTTCGCGAAACGTTTCGTTCGCTGAAACCCTATTTCAAACCATGAAATATGATAAGATAAGGTTCTCTTATTTAAAGGAACTGTCGGTGTTATATAAAAAGATTCTTCATTTAAAGAGTTATATTTCCAATTTCCAATTTTTCGTTTTAATCTTTGCTGGAGTAAGAATCAGACATCGTTGATTTTCGTCTTGAAAAAAGAAAATTCCATCAATTTCCTTCCGAGATTCAGGACATCAGCTATTTATTTAGAAAACCAAAAATATCTCTTTTTTTCGGCTACAATTGTTGACTGAGCACTGTTGTAAATCTTTAAAGGGAGGATCATTTGAAATTGCGACAATAATTATTGTCGCAATTATAATCTCTTTAAAAAATGTGATAACTTCAGTTTTATTCTTTAAATGCCCAACAACCCTTTTTCTGAGAAAAAAAAGAAAAATATATCCGAAAATTAAGGTTTGGTCGGTTTGTAAATATATATGAAAATAATATGAAAATGTGAAAAATGTGTATTTACCCGAAAAAGCTAGTTTTTTTGTCAGTTCATCAATTTGTTGCTTTAGATCTTCTCGTTCATGAAGCCACAATGTTCTTTCCTGAGCCTCTATCTCGCGCTCTTTACTAAAATATGGGCTGTTTATGTACAATGGTTCAACTTTATGTACAATGGCTTAATGATTTAATATTCATGAACAATTGTTAAATATATTTACAATGGACCAATATCTATAAACTCAATAGTTTAATATTCATGTACAATGATTTTATATTTATGAACAATGGTTTGATATTTATAAACAACGGTTTAATATTTATGTACAATGGTTTAATATTTATGTACAATAGTTTAATATTTATAAACAATTGTTTTATATTTCTGAACAAATGGTTTAATGTTTATTTACAATGGTTTAATATTTATTTACAATGGTTTAATATTTATGTACAATGGTTCAATATTTATGTACAATTGTTCAATATTTATGTACAATGGTTTGATGCTTATAAACAACGGTTCAATATTTATGTACAATGGTTCAATATTTATGTACAATGGTTTAATATTTATGTACAATAGTTCAATATTTATGTAAAATGGTTCAATATTTATGAACAATGGTTTAATACTTATAAACAACGGTTCAATATTTATGTACAATGGTTCAATATTTATGTACAATGGTTTAATATTTATGTACAATGGTTTAATAATTATGAACAATGGTTTAATACTTATAACAAAAGTTTAATATTTATGAACAACGGTTTAATACTTATGAACAATGGTTTAATATTTATGTACAATGGTTTAATATTTATGTACAATGGTTCAATATTTATGTACAATGGCTTAATATTTATGTACAATGGTTCAATATTGATGTACAATGTTGATTAGATTTGATTTTCAACGTTAAAATTTCAGTTTTCAGTTTTTATAATCGGCGTTAACATCTTTTTGATCAGTAATAATTTAATTATCTAGATTGTCTACATTTAATACCGGTAATATATTATTTAAACATTTTAAATATTTTCAAAATTTTCAATATTTATGTTTTAATGTATCTATCGTTTAATAATTTATGTTCATACAATGGAGTTTATAAGTACATTTTTTTAATTCTTGTGAATGTATTTAAAAAATATAATAAAAAGATATTAATTCCTTTAAAACTTTTGAAAAGTGAAGAAGGGCCTTTAACCTTTAACAATAATGCTTTGGCATTGTAGATACTTAGATATGATTGACATAAGAAAAATTTTATTTGCACAGAAAATAAAGTTGTGCAAAATATCTGCACTTGCAAAGTTCAATATTACGTATAGAGTGTCCCACAACAGGGGCGTAAGAGGGGGGGGGCAGTCCCTCCCTACGCGTGCCCCCCCTGAGGGAGGGCACCCATATAAAAAATACTTTAAAATCTCACTTTTGCCCTAAACTAAAAAAGTTTCATTAAAACAGCTTTAATCTATACCGCCTTCACTATAAATTTATCTTTGATTATTTATAATTAAACTAGGCTTTTAGGGTGTTTCGCGCCCATCACCTATTTAAACTTTTAACTGTGGCTTTATCTGTGAGCATCATATCTTTGAACAGTATAAAATAAAATCAAAAAAAGTTTGCGGATTTTCCGCGCATTTTCAAATTTTACAACAAAAAAAAACAACTTTTAAATACAAATTTTTAAAATTTTGATCATTCATAAACCTTCCTGGGGTCACGTGAGGTCCCACACGAAATTTGGGTCCGATCGGTTCAGCCGTTTTAACGTTTACTGGATACAATATTTATTGTTTCTATGAAAATATAGATATTTTTTCAGAAACGTTTCCATCTCTATTTTTCACCCATCGAAGCTTACACCACAGTATTAAGAAGAAGTGTCTGAATAATTCATTAAAGAAAATTACATAAATAATCTAATTACACTTATAATATGGAAGTTTGTATATGAGGCTCAAAGAAGTTCGTAGTACGATTTCGATTCTACTGGAGACCACCGGAGGGATTTCATTTTCATTGGAGGAGCTTGAAAAGTCGCTTTTTTCGATTTGAATATGATCGAATAGCTTACGTAGTTAAAAAGGGTATCAATTTTTTTTCTAAAAAGGGGTTTTTCAGGGGAACACAATGTTTCCAAAAATTCAGGCCCGATCGGTTCAGCCGTTTTGACGTTTATTGGATACAATCAAAAAGACAGACAAGCTAAATCTATTAATAGATACAATATTTATCGTTTCTATGAAAATGTAGATATTTTTTAAGAAACGTTTCCATTTCTATTTTTCACCAATTGAAGCTTACACCACAGAATCAAGAGTAAGCACTGTCTGATGAGTCCACTTAATAAAATTACATAAATAATTTTTTAACACTTTTATATGAAAGTGTGTATATGATCGAATAGTTTACGTAATTAAAAAGAAATCAATATTTTTTCAGAAAAGGGGTTTTTCAGGGAGGGGGAGGGGGCCGGGGGGCACAATTTTGCCAAGGGGGACACAACATTTTTGTTTTGCGAGCAGATGCGTGTAAAAAGTGCCTCCCCCCCCCTTAACAAATGCTCTTGTACGCCCCTGCCCATAAAAGATTACAGTAGAAAGACGACTTGACCAAACAATTTATTTGTTGCATTTAGTCGTCAACCTACTTTGACATGTATGATTCTTGAAACAAAAACCACAAATTTCTCCTAGTCCTGGCATTGACAAAATTTTGAGATTATTGTCCTGAAAATTTTACTTCTAAAACTAGGTTGACAGATAAGTGCAGCAAATTATATAAAAATTCAAAGACAACTTTCAAGTCCTCTTGTATTGTGGGACACCCTGTATAATATATATTTCATAAGGGGTTAAAGTTAAATCACAAACTTGATTACAAGTTATCAAGTTTTGAATTTGAATTACAACATAAAACTAATGATAAGAAAAATGTCAAGAATTGCTTGCACACATGTCAGATTTCAGTTCACCCGAAACAGTCTTATAATCCTCAGTCATTCACTAGAAAGCAGTCGTGCAGGATGAACCTAATCAAAGACAAGATTTTATACTCTGGCGAAAAGGAGGTGAGGGATTATGGCAAGTATTTTATCTACAGAGTCCTAGATGATGTTCATCAAGAGCTTGATGAGACCGGTGACCGAGATTGGATGGTGGACACCGAAGATGGTGGTTCAACAAAACTCTCTTCTATATATCCTATTTCTATCAGGATTGCTAGTGCATTTTCAAAGCTTGGATTTAAAGCTGGAGATGTCATCCAGACTGGATATTCAACATGCCTTGATTTTTATTGGCCAATCTTTGGAGCATGGATGTGTGGAGGAGTTGTTAGCTTGGGGGATCCCTCCCTCAATCCAGATCTTATAAGATATCAGATTCTAGATCTCAAGTCTAAGATAATTGTCTGTAGCTCTGAGCATGCCTTGAAATATTCTAAAATTGTTGCTAGCCTCACCGTAGAAGAGAAGCCTATGCTCTTTGTTCTAGACGTCTTGGAAAATAAGGTTCCTATTGGCTGCAGAAGTTTTACAGAGCTATTTGAGGATGATGGACTTGATGCACCTTCTTACGAGTCACTCCCACCTTACAATCCATTGGATCGTCTTGTTGTCCTTTGGAGTGCAGGAACTACAGGAAATCCCAAAGGTATTGTGCACTGTCATCAAACTCTGCAGAATGTTGCATATCTTAAAAATATTTGCAACAAAAGTCTGATTACTAATGTGGGTTATCACATGGCAGGATTCCTGCATCATTTGTCGTCAGGTATTCTAGGGAGAACAATTAGCTACTTTGTGAAAGAGCGTCTCTTCAGTGGAGATACATATCTCAACGCCTTGGAGAAGTATCAACCTGAATATTTTGTTTGCAGTGTCAGCAGTTTTACATCAATTGCAAATGCCAAACAACCCTTCCGTAATCTTCCCAAACTTAAGATAGTAACACCCCTAGGCGGGTCCCTGTCTCCAGGAACTGTAGAGAGAGTAATGAAGATTCTTGGCGAACATGTCAGTTTTCTGAAGATCTATGGGGGCACTGAGATGGGTCTGATAGGAAAATGTGTATACAGCAAAGATTATGATAATATTGGACAGCTGGGTCCTGGAGTCCAGTTGTACTGTGCAGACCCAGTTACAGGTAGCAAGCTGGGACCTCACCAAGAGGGGAAATTTATGGTAAAGACACGCTCTATGATGCTGGGTTACCTCAAGAAATCGGATAATGATGAAAGCTATGATAGCGATGGGTTTGCATACAGTGGGGACATGGGATATTATGATGAGCACGGAAACATTTACTTCAAGTGTCGGATGAAAGATGTTCTAAAGGTAGAAAACTTCTGGTTTGGTCCGGGTGAGATTGAAAACATATTGCTTAACGAGCCTGAAATACTTGATGCTGTTGTATGGGGAGTGTACGACAACACTACCGGAAGTGACAAAGTTCATCTTGGGGTAATCTTTGAGAATACGGAGAATAGTTGGACTGAAGCAGACGTAAAGAGCTTGATTGCTAAAAAGCTTCCTCGGACCCGGCACATTACCGGCCAAGTTCACATTCTTACCAAGATACCTTACTCTGTGCAAGGGAAAAAATTGAGAAGAGAAATGCAGAGCTTTGTAAATGGGATAAAATGCTAGTTGTTAAATCAAATTAAAAAATATTGAACTTGCTGGAATTTTAAAGTTGATATAAATATGGCATTGTTATTTTTATGTGCATTGAAATCCTAGGCTATTTTTGTAGTGTCAAACGTTCTGTTCTTGGTAAAAATGGCCTTTTTACAACATTAATATGGAAAGGAAAAAATATTCCAAAATTATGTAAATAGACATTCACTAAACTTATTTTAAAACATTCAACAATGGTGTTTAAAGTTAGAAAGTATTTTTATATATTTAACTGTTAGTACTTTAAAAAACGTATTAATTTGTAATTTTGTATAAAGTTTTGTATAAAGTTTTGTTAGTTAAATTCACCTCATTTTGTTATTGTCATCGTTGAGAAGATTTGCTATTTCCTCCAAGTTATCTGGGTTTTCAATATATGTTTTTTTTCAGTAATCAACGAATTATTCATGAAAAATTTTGATTTAAAAGGACTCTAAGCGTAATTTCAAGAAACTCTTCATGCAAATATTGCAATGCTTGACAATGGTACGTCCTTAAAAGCTTTGACTCAAGTTTGAAATTGATATTAATGTTTTTTCTTCTTTAAACTGCAATGGAGAAATGTTCAGAATTTATCATTTTTCATTTAAATATTGCAATGCTAGGAAAGCGGAGGTAACTTCTACATTTCTGTTCAGATCGGGGTTTCAAGGATACCATTGTTAATCTGCCATTGCCATCTTTACATTGAAGATTAATCCAGTTGTAGATTATGATTAGACTAAATTAAATCTTTATCCCTTCTTTTGTTATAAAATATTGATTTGTTTCTATTAAGATTAAATAAATAAAACGATAGATTTGATTAAATTAATAAAAAGTTAAAATCTTTTTGTTTTAATTTGGAAGAACAAAATTAAAACAAATAAAATATTAAAAGCTGAAAATTGAATAATTAACATTTGTTAAAATTTTGGCAAAATTACTTTAATTATAGCTGCAAGGTTATAGTTGTAATTATTCCATAATTTTCAGATTTTTAATTTTTAAAAAGCTTTTTTTGAACAGTTACCAGTTACTATTATTAATGACATTTTAACCCTCCTGAATTCACGTTATTTGTTGCTATGCAACTTTCAGTCAAAAATTATAAAACTTCATTATTGAAAAAGGGCTCGAAAGTGAAGACTCACGAACTTTTTTATCACCAGGATACTTAAAGGGACTGTTCACTTATTTGGATAATTTCAGGGTAAACTAAACAGCCTATCTGCTGTTGATTGGTATTTGTTTTACTTTTCAAAGACAACGAAGAAAAGCCAATTTTTCGTTCAGAATTCGAGTGCAAAGGTATGGTATTAAGGGAAATCTTTAAACTGTAGAAAAAGGTCAAAATGAAGGGATCCAATTACTCGCCTAAACGCTAGTTCAAAAAATGTTTAACATCAGACTGCAAAGATATGGGATGAGAAATAGAGTTTGAGGGAAGTTCACAGTTCCTTTCTATCACTATTTCTTCAAGATTTTAAGGAAATCCGCGAAAATATTAATAAAAAATCGTTGATTTTCTCCACCAGAGAATTGATAACATGAGGTAAACATATATATTCCCTAATTGATAATTTTTTTCAGCAATTGAAACTTCCATTATTTTTTTCTAGAAAATAAGATTCAAATACAATGAGAACCAGAAAACTATGGAAAAGGAAGACGAATGTTAGGCTAATTTAATGAGTTTTAACAGTCCAATAAACATCGAACACAGTTTGCGTGGGCGATCTATATCATGCAAAAAAATTATTTACAAGTTACAATCTACTGTCTTTTTGTTTTATAACAACTTCAAATATCAAATTAAATTGCTTAAATGTCGTCTTTCCATTACACAGGTTTTTGTGTGGTATAATTTTCAGAACAACGTTTAGAAATATTAAAACAAAACAAGTCACGCACACTACTCAAATATTAGGTTTTATTTCGGATATATAAAATTGATTCTTTTATATTTTTACTTGACCAAGTATTATTTATTCACATTGAGAACTAAATCTAACGTGACGTGTACACCCAAGAAAAATAAATGCAAAAGCAAAAATTGGCTTGGTTTGTAGGTTATAGGGCTTTATGCGTGAAGAGAAATATGTGCATAAAGCACATTGTCAGCTTTAGTGATACCACTTTCAAAATGTTTGTAAATTGTCTTGAAGTCATGAGAAACAAGTTGGCCATTTCGATAAGCATATATCTTTAAGGGTTTCAAAAAGATAAGCAAAGACAAAATTTATTTTTCCTATTTTTAGCCCGAAAAAGCCATCATTTTTACAATTATGGGATGATTTTGTAAAAAATAGGAGAAACTCAGTAGAAACATATTAATAAACAAATTACCAAATCTGTTTATCATGATTAAAAGAAAATTCATTGATGTGTTAGAAAGCTCTAAATCTGACCATGGGAGAAACTGAAATGTGCTTTTTGCACATATTTCTCTATGCCCACACAGCTACACAACCTATAAATCAGGCCGATCTTTTGCTTTTGTATTTTTCTTCTTGGATGCACTTGTTAGATTTAGTTCTCAATGTGAATTAACTAATAATTGTTTAAATAACACTAAAAACTACACAATCTATAAACTGCTGTAAACCATGCCAATCTTTTGCTTTTGTATTTTTCTTCTTGGATGTACTTGTTAGATTTAGTTCTCAATGTGAATTAACTAATAATTGTTCAAATAACACTAAAAACTTCACAATCTATAAACTGCTGTTAACCATGCCAATCTTTTGCTTTTGTATTTTTCTTCTTGGATGTACTTGTTAGATTTAGTTCTCAATGTGAATTAACTAATAATTGTTTAAATAACACTAAAAAATTATCGGATTTTTTGTACAATTTGATAAATCTAAAAAAACCTAATATTTGAGTAATGCGCAACGTTATCTACGTTTATTTTGTATAAACTCAGATTACAAAAATAAATAAATAAATTGAGAATTACTTAAATCTTCTGAACTTTTATAAAAATCAAGCATTTTGCTTCAAAGCAGGCAAATATGATTGGACAAATTATCAGTTTCAAAACGATTATCAACACAATAGATGATAATTCAGAGACGACTGTACAGAATTTATACTGTCTGTTTCCTTAAATTCATGATTCCCTGCAACAGTTAATTTTTTTTCTTTCTCTGATAAATCATTTAATAAGCCAATACATGACTATATTTAAAATTCGGTGATGAACCAAACCTCTGCAGAGAAAAAAAATAGATGTTAGTTCCTTAATTCATCCTTGGAATGATAATTTTTTAATAGTTTTAGGTCGTCTTTAAAGTTTCATCCTTTGTGGGTAAGATTTAAAATTTAAAGCTATGAATTCTGTTAGATCAAATGAACCAAGTTTGAAATATCAAAGGTTTACACCATCAGGTTGTGAAGATATAGGGATGAGAAATTTTGTGTTTGTGCTAGGCAAAATCTCAGTTTCTCTCTAAAAGCAATTTTTCATTATACCTCTTCTAGAAGTCCGTTGTAATCTTCTATACTTCGCTCCAATGCCACGTGTAATCTTTTTTGCTCATTTCTTTCATTTTCAAGTAGTTCCTCACATCTGTGATGGAAAATTTTGCAATCTTTTATTCCTAGAAATTATAGAAAGTTGAGAAAGATTAAATGAGTTTCAAAAATGGGTTGCTTTCACTTGTGTATGAGGTAGGACCGTATCACGATGTAAGTCTGATCGAAAATATATTTTAGGGACTGTTCGCGTGATTTAAAGAGAGTTTGATAAACAATTTATCCACTAAATTTCTGTTGTCGGAGAAAAAAAAATTGGCTAAAGGAACTGAGTTTTTGTCACAAACTCTACTTTTCTAATCACTATATCTTTGCTATCCAATGTTAAGATTGTAAAGATATAGGGATTAGACAGTTTGAGTTTGTGACAAAAACTCAGTTTCTTTCATCTTTTTTGAGAAGAAAGGGGAATTTTTTTCAGCTGGAAAAAAATCCAAAGACATTTGAATTTGAATTTTGAATTTTTTTGTTAAAAAAATTTTGCGTCTAACATTTTTAAAAACTAAAATTACGTTTTCTTTGGCTTCTTTGGAAATATAAATAATTACACTATTCTTACCTTTATCTAATTTTGATACTTTTTTCTCACAGTTCTGAATTGAACCCTGAAAAATATGATGAAAGAAGCAAAGAAAATTACTTGCCTTTAAATTTTTTTATACTTAAATTAGACCCATGGGGTAGATTTATTCTAAATTTCAAGGCAAAGCTGGTTTTTAATCTATTCTACATCTATCAAAAAATTAGTCACTGGTTGTTTATTTGTATGCTTTATTTCGAGGAACTCGGTAGAACCGTGCACGGGAATGTTCTTATCTTTATCATAAACTTCTCCGTAGACTGGGTTGCATTACTAGACAAGATAATTTTACAGGCAAAGCTAAGCTCCCAAACTAGTTTTTAATATATTATCAAAAATACGAGATCATAATACCAATACAACCAACCTCCTACTATAAAAAAGAATTTGGAAGAGTGTGAGGAATATTGCAAAACAAAAAAAAATAAAAAATGTTCTTGAAAATGTTAAAATCGCACCTCACTGTCCTTCTCTTAAAGTACAAAAATATGTTTGCTAGAATGAATTAAATAAAATTCATGGTTTATTTCTAGGCTTAAAAGTCAAATGTAACTTGTTAAAGAAGTAAATAAGTAAATATTTTAAAGCATAATCAATTAATTAATTAATTAATTAATTAATTAATTAATTAATTAATTAATTAATCAATTAATTTAATTAATATGTATGCTATTAAACATATATGTTTTTCAAACAAAATGGTTTACACGAATAAATATTTAGATCTTTAAAAAATGCCTTACTCCAACAAGTTTTTTTAATATGTATCATACAGATATAACTCGTGCTGACTCTCAACTATAATATTCAGTCTGTATCACTGACGCTCTTGTATCCCTTAATATGTATCGTACAGATACAACTCGTGCTGACTCTCAACTATAATACTCATTCTGTATCAATGACACTCTTGTATCCCTCAATATGTATTGTACAGATACAACTCGTGCTGACTCTCAACTATAATATTCATTCTGTATCAATGACACTCTTGTATCCCTCAATATGTATCATACAGATACAACTCGTGCTGACTCTCAACTATAATACTCATTCTGTATCAATGACACTCTTGTATCCCTCAATATGTATCGTACAGATACTCGTGCTGACTCTCAACTATAATACTCATTCTGTATCAATGACACTCTTGTATCTTTTAATATGTATCGTACAGATACAACTCGTGCTGACTCTCAACTATAATACTCAGTCTGTATCACTGACGCTCTTGTATCCCTTAATATGTATCGTACAGATACAACTCGTGCTGACTCTCAACTATAATACTCAGTCTGTATCAATGACATTCTTGTATCCAAGGCTATCTAGGCTATAATTATTTAGTTAATGAAGCGTAAAAATAAATATGTTTTACAATCTCCTGACTCCTGCAAATTATCTTTTTTGCGCAAAAACCCGGAATTTATATTTAAAATACAAAAAAAAGAGATTTCGGAAATACAAGGACAAGAAGATATTAAAGTTAATTTACAATCATTATTTAAAATAATGATATTCTTATCTTTAATTTTTTTCCTTTTTCCTAATATACAGGGTTACCCACACAGAATGAGACTGTAAAGACGACCGGAAACTCTTAAATTAAATAAAAAACGAGACAAGTTTACCAGTTGGAAAAAATAAAGAATATAAGGAAGCAGAAAGTAAAAATTTATAACAGTCGTCTCTACAGTCTCATCCTTTGTGGTTAGCCTTGTATCCGACAAAAAAAAACAAATAGAAATAAAAAATAAGAATTAAAAATACAAAGAAAAACAAAGATTAACCTGTGAATAAACTAATCTTTCTCAGAAAACTTTGAAGAGACTTTAAGTAACCATATTTTTAAAAAGACCAGCATGTCCGATTTCGACGGGTACCCTTTAAACCTTATCTGAGTAACAATTAGGAAGATATGATTATTTTATTTTCAATTTTGAAAAGTTTCTTTTTTTCTGAACAGAAAAATTCCGCAGTTTACTTTTATAGATTAATCACAACGGAAAATAATATAATATCAGATAAAAAAGTAAATATTTGTCCTTCATCATCAGATAAAGATGTAAAGGGTACCGTTATGAATCTGACATGCATCAGATAAAGTTGTAAAGGGTACCGTTATGAATCTGACACGCATCAGATAAAGTTGTAAAGGGTACCCTTATGAATCTGACATGCTACTCTGTAAAACAAGAGACATTTAAAATCACGTGTAAAGTTCCTTAAATTTAAATTTTGCTACCATTTTTATTTTAGAATTAATTTCAAATATAAAAGACTATCTACCTGATATTCTTCTTTTACCATATTATAGGAGTCTAAGTAGTTTTCTATAGTACAAGGGGAAGGTTTTAAATATCGTTTCTATTCATTTCCTAAATGAACTTTTTTATTTTTGGTAAATCTCGATAATCTTAAAGCTTTCAAGTGATTAAAAAGAAACATATCTATTGAAGTCCAATTTAATATTTTGAAACATGCCTCAAATTTTCTGATCCTTATATCTTTGCAGCTTGATGGAGTAGACCCTTAAAATTTAGTTCAATATTAGATTATTTAAAGAAATTAGAATTCATAGTTTGAAATATCTAAGGTTATACGACACTGGACTGCAATATATAGGAATCAGAAAATCAGAGTTTGTGGCGCAGACTCAAATACTTTGAGATAGTTTACAATTGAACGGGTAAGTTATTTAACTTGTGATTTCATCTCTTTGTTAGTATATTTTTGAAAAAATTTGTAGAGAAATATTGGTGTAAGTTTTTAACACTTTTATTCTAATCCGCGACTAAAGCTATTGGATGTGTTATCATTTCGTCAACTTCTGAATCTAAGATATAAAGTTTAACTCTGAACTCAGTCAAATAAATTTCAAGTTCCCCCGTGCCTAGTGTATCACCACAGTGCACCTTGTCTTCCTAAATATATGTTACTATTATTATCTAAAAATTTTAAATTAATAATTTTTTATGTTAACCCGTTCTTGTGGCAACTAGACTCTACAGTTATCTTACAAGTTCCATTTGAAATTTTTCAGCAAGTTTTAAAAAGTTACGCCCCCCCCCCCACAGGACAAATTTCCCTTGCTCCTCCCTAATAACTCCCCATAATTAACAACTAAAACATTGATTGTTAATATTCAATTTGTTATTTGGCTTTGCTAAACATGTTTATTGTTTACGGTGGTAAAAAAAATGCCTAATGTTTACATATGCTGGTGCATTGCAAGCTTAGCATTTACCTTAAATGGGTGAAAAATAATGCAATTGTAGCAAATTTTTGAACTGATTTATAATTACAAAACCTTGAAAAATTCCCAGAAAATTTATGAAACTAATTTTTTTTAAAATCTGGTTCAGTAAAAAATATCAGTTGCTATAATATTTAAATCGGGATTTTTTTTATAATGCCATCAAGGAAATAACCTTATTTTTTTGTTAGAACTTTTTATGTATATCCATTAATCTAAGTCTAAAATATCAAAGATTTACTCTATCAGGAGGCATATATAGTGATGAGAAAATTTAAATATGTGGCAAAAACTCATTTTCTTTCAAACTTTTTTTAAAACTCATATTTTACATATCTAGGAATGGGCCGCGTTTTAAGGTCAGATTTTGCTTTGAAAGATCAAAGCGAGGCCCATCCCTTTTATAACATAGCAATACTTTACCCTTATTTTATGTAATTTGTATAGCAAGCAGGTTACCAAACAAACTAAACCAAATTCAACATTACACAAGAATTTTAAGTTTCAAATTAAAGTAAATATCATGTCAGATTGAAATATTACATGTAGTTTTGATTAGGGCTGGGCACGTTCCGACTTTTTTGAAATCGTTCCGTTCAGTTCTAGAACGAGGGCCTTCAGTTAAATCATTCCGTTCTCGTTCCTCTTTTTTATATTTCCGTTCTCGTTCCATTCCGTCCCGTTCCGTTCCGTTCTGAGTAGAAGAACGGTCTTCCTGTTCCGTTCCGTTCTTGGCGTTCTTAGTTGAAGAACGGTTAAAGTAAATATCATGTCAGATTGAAATGCTACATGCAGTTTTGATTAGCTAAAATGCAACTAAATATTTTTTATCTCATTTATTTCCGAGATTTACCAATACGTTACCACTCAATTTTTAGATGTTGCATAACTTATCTCTTTTACCTTATACCTTAGTCGTTTTTGTACTGTACTGCAACTAGCTAGTAATGAACCCAATTTTTTCAGTGGCATGTGTCATGCAGTAAAAAATGGATCGAAAATTCGAAAAATAATATTTCTTTTGGTTTTACAGATACAAACTTACAGAAAAAAAAGAATAAATTTTTATATACTTTGAGGTCTTTCTTTTTAGGTTTTTTGATATTTTTTAATGCTGTCTTCAAATTTTTCTAGCAATCGCTTAGGTGAGTAATTAGTTTATTTGAATCTAAAAATGTTTTTTTATCTTATATAACAGGTGTGTTTTATTGTTTTCCGTTAATTAATTAATTAATTGCAGTCAATACAATCATACAATACATGTATTCATCAATGATACTAATTCTAATGTCCATATTTCCGACTGGTAAACTTAGTGATGCATTTTATTACATCAAGAGTGAATTTAAAGCAAAACTCATCAATATAAATGCACTTCTTATTCGTGATGAATATAAAGTCTGGATCTACAAACATTGTTCAGTTCCTTCTATTTGATTTCTGCTCACTGTTCAAACAATATCACAATTCCATCTTCAGAAACAAGGCACTTTCACGAATAAATTTGTGAAAAATTGAAATGTGCAACAAATTCTGCTCTACACTTGAAACCTGGCCTAAACATCACTTCAATATCCACCCTGTACAAAACAACTATGACGGAATTGCATACCACTTAAGGATTAGAATACTGGGTGAGGAAACAGTTAACTCTGCCTTACAATTTTAAATTAGACAGGGAAAATATTAGCTTCGCAAAAATTCCGTGTTTAATCTAAAGAAAGGTAGATTGAAATTTCTACTCAACTCCTGTTTGTACACCCTGCCAACACAAAGTAACCTTCTACGGTGGAGAAAATCTGCATTAGAGCTCTATAAACTATGTTTGCAGGCAGGCGCTGGATTGTAAGGTAGAAGACAAGAATTTACAGACCCTATTTTGAATTGCTGCAAGGTTGCATTCCACCAAAAAAGATGTACTTGAAGGCACACCAATCTAGTTAAATATATCACTGGAATAATTGATATTGACCGATTTTTGATTAAATCCCTCGGAGTTTAGAATTTCCATTGAGTAAATGATACATTCATTCATTTATTCAAAATAATTGTTTAATAGTTTGTAGTGATTTTTAAATGTTCTCTCAAGACTACTGTACAACCATCAATTTCATTGCAGGGGTGTGAATTTCATTGCATGGGTGTATATTCTGATGCAGGAATTTATATTTCATTGCAGGGATGTATATTCCATTGCAGTGGTTTAAATTTCATTGCAGAGATGTGTAGTTTATTGCAGGGATGTATATTGGCCCAGTATCATTTTGCCTAGTCCAAGTTCGCCTAGCACACTTTCGCCTAGTACATGTTCGCCTAGTTCAAGTTCGCCTAGATAACATTTTGCCTAGATAACATTTTGCCTAGACAACATTTCGCCTAGATAACATTTTGCCTAGATATCATTTTGCCTAGATAACATTAAGGAGTAATAAGAAATACGCAATTTTTACTGTAAAAATTTCACAATTTTTTTTTGTAGTTTAAATCATTCAGTTTTCTACTGACATTGATGTCGACATGACGTCCTTAATTCAGGCAGGGAAAACCAAACGAGGCAGACATTTCTCATATGTCTCCAATGGACCTGGTAGTCAGAAAGTTTATAATTGGCGGTGTTCAAACAGAAACCTGGTCGGGGATACTCTGCCAACCGTGAGCCACAAAGGTTGCAGATTTCATCACAACGCTGCAGTTTGGAAGAACCTGGGAGATCATCATCTTCAGGAACTGTTTAATCAGAATCCCAGGTTCCAGGAACTAATCTATCTGATGTATACACTCTGCTACGTACCTGTGGATCAGGTGAAAAGCTATTATGATGAAGTGATCATTCCCCAGGTTCAAGAAGGAGTTGATCATGATCAAGAATGGGAGGATTATGATCAGGAGATTGATCGTTTTGGGTACTACTATTCACAGACTTGGATTGAAAAACGGGGCGGGAGGAGAGCATTGTTCCCGCCCTGTCTTTGGAACCAGTACAGCACAGTTCTAGAGGATGGAATGGAAACAAACAATATGCTGGAATCCTTTAATCGTACCTGGAATTTATTGTCTGGGTATAGTCCAAATGTTTGGCACATTCAGGACCAGTTTGTCAAACAAGATGCTGATGCAAGACGAGCATTTATTTCTAATTCAGTTGGCCAGGATATGGCTGATAATACAGGCAGAAAGCAGAGAGCCAAGGATGCAAAACAGAAGGTTAAACTGGTAGTAGAAGCTTTTGCTACAATGCCTAAAACTGATTATCTGAAAATGCTGGCTCATGATCTCCAGCGAGCTAGTGCTTTTTAAGAAAAAATTTGTAAACATTATTATAATACATTTTTTTTGCTTTTAATTGAATTTCTTGAGAAAAAAGAGGAACTTTATAAATTTTTGAAAAAAATTTTAGTGAATTTATCTAGGCGAAAATTACCTTCTATTGTTATCTAGGCAAAATGTTATCTAGGCGAAATGTTGTCTAGGCAAACTGTGTTTAGGCAAAATGTTATCTAGGCAAAAAGTTAGTAGGCGAACATGTACTAGGCGAAAGTGTACTAGGCGAAAATGTACTAGGCGAACTTGTACTAGGCAAAATGTTACTGAGCCTGTATATTTCATTGAAAAGAAATATATTTTATTACAGGGATGTACATTTCATTGGAGGAAATGTATATATAATTGCATAGATGCATTTTTCATTACAGCGGTGTATATTTCATTACAGTGATGTATATTTCATTCCAGTGATGTAAATTTCATTAAAGAGATGCATATTTAATCACAGTGATGTATATTTCATTACAGAGAGATGCATATTTCATTAAAGAGATGTATATTTCATTACATAGATGTATATTTCATTACAGAGAGATGCATATTTCATTAAAGTGATGTATATTTCATTACAGAGATGTATATTTCATTACAGAGAGATGCATTTTTCATTATAGAGATGTATATTTCATTACAGAGATGTATATTTCATTACAGAGATGCATATTTCATTAAAGAGATGTATGTTTTATTACAGAGATGTATATTTCATTACAGAGATGTATATTTCATTACAGAGAGATGCATATTTCATTAAAGAGATGCATATTTCATTACAGAGATGTATATTTCATTACAGAGAGATGCATTTTTCATTAAAGAGATGCATATTTCATTAAAGAGATGTATATTTCATTACAGAGATGTATATTTCATTGCAGAGATGTATATTTCATTGCAGAGATGTATATTTCATTACAGAGAGATGCATATTTCATTATAGTGATGCATATTTCATTGCTGGGATGTATATATCATTACAGTGATGTATATTTCATTACAGTGATGCATATTTCATTGGAGAGATGTATATATCATTGCATAGTTGCTCTCTTTAAAACCCTAGAATGTTTTCTTTGTTTTCAACAATATGGAATTCGATTGAATTAGAGCTTAAAAAAACTAAATCTGCAAAATCGTTTTAGAAAAGTCGCCAAGATCTATTTAGTTAGTGATGCAAGTTAAATCTGTAAAAAAATGTGTATCATTTGGATAAACGTACTTTGTCTTTATTATCTTGTAGTTCATAAATATGATTTTAATAACATATGTTACCCTCTGTTCCAACCTCCCTTTTCCTTATACTCCTTCACCTCCCCCTTACCTTTTTCCTGATTTTTCATTATTATTATGTTTCAAATTTTAAAATATTTTGGAGACTCACGAAATCCAGATTTTTTTTTTTTACAAAAACAGAAAAAGTTTAGTTTAACGAGTTCTTGAGGAATAAATAAAATTATATCTTTTTCAAAATAAAAGAGGAGGTAATTACTGAATAATTTTCTCAGAAACTATTGATAAACTAGACCAGAAACTATTAAATAATTAGACAAGAAACTACAGAATAACTAGATGAGAAACTACTAAATAAATTTATCAGAAACTATTGAATAACTAGACCAGAAAATATTGAATAACTAGATGAGAAACTATTGAATAACTAGACCAGAAAATATTGAATAACTAGATGAGAAACTACTGAATAACTAGACCTGAAACTATTGAATAACTAGATGAGAAACTTCTGAATATCTAGACCTGAAACTATAGAATAACTAGATGAGAAACTTCTGAATAAATAGACCAGAAACTATTGAATAACTAGACCAGAAACTATTGAATAACTAGACCAGAAACTATCGAATAACTATAGACCAGGAACTATTGAATAACTAGGTGAGAAACTACTGAATAAATAGATCAGAAACTACTGAAAAACTAGACTTTAAACTACTGAATAACTGGATGTGAAACTACTGAATCAATAGATGAGAAACTACTGAATAACTAGATCAGAAACTACTAAAAAACTAGACTTTAAACTACTGAATAACTAGATGTAAATCTATGGAATATCTAGACCAGGAACTATTGAATAACTAGACCAGAAACTAATGAATAACTAGATGAGAAACTTCTGAATCAATAGATGAGAAACTACTGAATAACTAGATCAGAAACTACTGAATAAATAGATCAGAAACTACTGAAAAACTAGACTTTAAACTACTGAATAACTGGATGTGAAACTACTGAATCAATAGATGAGAAACTACTGAATAACTAGATCAGAAACTACTGAAAAACTAGACTTTAAACTACTGAATAACTAGATGTGAAACTATTGAATAAATAGACCAGGAACTATTAAATAACTAGACCAGAAACTAATGAATAACTAGATGAGAAACTTCTGAATCAACAGATGAGAAACTATTGAATGAATAGATCAGAAACTACTGAATAACTGGATGTGAAACTACTGAATATCTAGACAAGAAACTATTGTTTAGAATACTAGACCAGAAAGTAATGAATAACTAGATGAGAAACTTCTGAATAACTAGATGAGAAACTACTGTACAACTAGACTTTAAACTACTGAATAACTCGTGGTAAAACTACTGAATATCTAGACCAGAAACTACTGAATAACTAGACCAGAAACTAATGAATAACTAGATAAGAAATGTGAATAACTTGATGAGAAACTACTGAATATCTAGACCAGAAACTATCGGATAACTAGACCAGAAACTATCGGATAACTAAATGAGAAACTGCTGAATAACTAAGTCAGATACTACTGAATAACTAGACTTTAAACTACTGAATATTTATATGTAAAACTACTGAATAACTAGGCCGGAAACTATTAAAAGACTTTCAGTAGAAAGTTGTTTCACCGGAATTTAACTAAATTTTCCTGGTTTTTATCGAATTTTTCGGAATATTAATAACGAATTTTCTGAGATAACACCGATTTTTTTGTATTTAAACAGAATTTTCCGGACATTAATAAATTTTGAAAATGTTTGAATTCCTGTAAGAAGAAAGTGTGATCTTGATGAAACCATGTTTGAAACTAAAGTTGAATCTTATATTTCTTCTCAACTAAAACATCAGTGAATCCACCTGTTCTGATAAAAATCAACAATTTTTGTAAATTTCAGCTGTCAAGGGACCTATTAGGATTTAGGTCAATTAGCTCAACATCTCATTTATAAGTTCTTTGCTGGAATACATTCGAAGTTAATTTGCTTAAAGAGAGTGTTGTATTAAATACCCTAATCCATAGAAGTCTTCAACACACGTATCAATCCAGGTTAGGGTTTCCATTTTTCCGGAAAAAAATTTCCATTTTGGAAATGGAATGATCCGGAAATTTGTTGCGTAAACCGGAATTCCGGGATAATTCCGTTTTACGGAATGGAAACCGTAAAATTTCCAGTTTCCATTTCGTAAACCGGAAAAATTTCCATTCCGTAAACCGGAACTTAAAGAATTTTAACCTCTGTTCGTTTGTCCGATCATAACTGGACCGAATTGCCTCAAATTTTGATTGGGGAACTCGGGAGACCCACTGGAATGGTCTTAGATTGGTTTTGAGATTCTTAGTTGAGTGCATTTACTTTCACAGCGAAAATTTAGTTTCCTGGTAAAGTGCGGCGGGAGTAACTTTTAGTAACCTTGGCAGCGCTGGGTTCCCAAGCTAGTATCTATATATGTAAATTGTCCAAACTGGCAAAAAAAGGTTTCACTCTATATATATGTAAAGTTGTAAAGGGTAAAGGTATCTATTTGTTTGTTTGTCCGATCATAACTTAGAAACCCCTGGACCGATTTGCCTCAAATTTTGATTGGGGAGCTCGGAAGACCCACGGGAAGGTCCTTAGCTTGGTTTTGAGATTCTACGTTGAGTTGGTCTACTTCAATAACGAATTTTAGTTTCCCATGTGAAATCGTTAAAGTGCGGGTAAACGGCGGGAGTAACTTTTAGTAACCTTGGCAGCACTGGGTTCCCAAGCTAGTGTATACCAATTGAGGGACAACCAAGGGTGGTTTTATGATTGAAATTAGAAGGGTCACAAAATAGTTTTCGAGTTGCATTGAATACTGCATTTTACAACCAATGCCTCCCCTTTTCCCCTATGCTGTGTTGCAAAAAAGAGTGCAAGCATATTAATCCCTGATATATTAATTCTTAAAATTGATATTTGATAATAATATTATAATTCTAAAAAACTAATAGTGTTAAATAAATACATAACAAAGGTATGAATATAAACTTTGGATCTAAATTTGCTTCAAAGAGGTGATAAAGAGTCATAATGAGCACTTACATTTAACAATTTATGCTAAATGTGTAAGATTCAAATAAAGATGTTTTTGATTTCAATTTTTGCAGAGAGAAACAGCTGCGGCTACGACTAAAAAGAAGTAAAAAATTAGAAGAATTTAGATGGGGGGGGGAATGTTACAACCCCCCCCCCCCTAGAACCACCATAGAACCACCTATGGCCGGACAACACTAAATCATATGCTCTTAAGGAAAAGAAGATTATTCCTGAATACTAAAACTTTAAGATTTTTAAACTAAAACGAAATTAACATGATTTTAAAGTGTTTTCTTGCCAGTCGAGATGAATAAATGCCGCCAAATTACTACTCCCCTTCATTCTCCAAGTACGGTTAGACTTATTTAGCATTGTTTCTTTTTCGTTAATTCACCCAGCGGAGCGGATATTCTGTAATTCAATGTGTTTTTAATCAATGGGTTGATAGAAAATCAGTTGTTTTGAGACGCCTTTTCAACCAAGAACATCATAAAGTCTCTATACGTCGTGTATTGAGAACTGGAGAAGATGAAAGTTCTTCAAGAACTTGTTCATGAAGTAAGGAAACGTTCAGGTATACATACTTCAACACATTAAAAAAATAAATTCAAATAAAAAATAAAAAAAAATTTATCAGGTTCCTAACATACTAGGTCATCAAATGTTATTTAAAAATCGTTGGTTCGTAACTGAATTCACAAAGAATCAACGTTAAACGCTCCGGGTCAACTATACATTGGGTACGACGGGCTGGTACGAAAAAAGCATAGTAGTACGATTGTCAGATATTAATGTTATATTTCACACGTAGTTTTCAACAAAAATTCTGAAAATACATAAATAAAGCACACTGACTATTAAACTAGGATATCCTGTTAAGCGTGATCTACAATTTAATTATTAACTATAAGGGAAATATTTTTCTCTAAACAATTTACTAAAATAAATTCCTTTAAAAAGAACATAAGTGCTATGGACTTTTTTTTTACTTTACTGGATCGGTATCGTTATGTACATGAATTTCCTACTTAACATGGATAGCTTATAAACGACCAAGTTTAATAATAAATATATCATATTATACGTTTCTAGTATTAAACGGATGAAATACCCTTCAAACCAGTAAAGGGTCTTTATCTTGAAGAAAATATTCTTTACAAGTAGTTTTAAATATGCTTAACTGTCACACTTCATGCTTATTGAATATTATTATTAGTAGGACACAGGCACATGAACTAGTTTCATCATTCTTTTTAAATTTTTTCAAAGTTTGAGAATTCTAAATTAAATTCTACATTTCATTTTAAAAATCTTATGTTCTTAAACCAGTTGGGGCATTTTTAGCGNGGGGGGTGTCCTTTATGGGTTACATAGGGGTCCAACTTTTTAAGGTCAATTAACATTAAAAAGTACATTTGCACAGACTGACGGTGGAGGGCTAACCTAAGGAAGAAGAATACAATTGTCTGAATTATAGTTTCCAAAATCTGAACTTAGCTTGTGGAAACTATAACTAGACGTAAAAACAATACTTTCTCGAAACCTCATACGATGGGAATTCTTGACTATTAAATTCTGAACACCCATAAACCTTTCCTGGGATCATTTGAGGTCCCGCAAAAAAAATTGTTCAATAGTTTTTACATTTATTGCATGCAACAAACAGACAGATAAACACTACAAGCAACGAATATATAAATATATATATATATGTATATATATACTAGGCTTTCAGAGCGCTTTGCACCCGTATTCGATTTTAACTTATAATTGTTTCTCTATCTGCGGTATTTTCCCTTTTTGACTTATCAAACTACATCAAAAAATATTTTCGTGGATTTATCGAAATTTTTGTGGATTTGAAAGAATGAAAGTTTTGAAATGGAAAGTTTTTAATTCTGACCATCTCCATTACCCTTCCCTTGGGTCATGTGAAGTCCCACGGTTCAGCCGTTTTGACGTTTATCGGATACAAACAAACAAACCATGAAACAAGCAAAGTATTTATCAAGACAAGGTTTTAAGCTACAATTTGCCGGAGTGTTGTTGCTTGGGAGCAGAGACGATTCAATACTTAATCTTCCATTGTACTGTTTAGTCTGAAATAAATCAGAATCTGAAAAATCTGAGGTGGTTTTAGACTTATAACATGTCCTATCATATCATTCAAGATTCATTATTATATTTTCTGTTTTTCTTACAAAGGAAGGATTAAAGAAACATGGCGTTTTATTTTTCGTTTAAAGTTATTTCAAATTTACATCTAACAAATGGGCCCGTTATTTAATATTTAAGTTTTGATTATTCATAATATTTTATTCTATATTTTATTCTATATATATTCTATATGCGTATTAATAAAAGTAGAACTACACGTTTACCTTCAAAAATCAAATTTAATAGATAACAAGAAAAGATGGACTATACGTTTACTAAGTTGAACCACTTCACTTAAATTTAGTGTAGTAAGTTACAAGTGAAACTATTTGATTTCCAACCACGTTAAATTTACTTGCTATAGTGCTGTAATGTAGTTCACTTGCTATAGTGCTGTAATGTAGTTTTCCTATTCCACAGTTTTCTGGTTCTCACTTACGTAGTTTCACTACTTCGCACTATTCATTTAATTTAGTACTAGGATACTTATATTAATATATTTACTCCGTTCTTTTCCTTTGGTGAAAATAAATAACGGTCTAGAAAAATCGTTTTAACCAATAATTTAAAAGTTGATTAGAGACCCTTTTTTTAAAAAATCGTAATTTTTTTCCATTTTTCTTTCTTTCTATAGCTCATTAAGATTTGATATTAGGTACATATTCACTTAAATTTCTTATAATTTATGAATACTGAGGTCAATGACCCCGATATTGTTTATCATCAAGTATTAAATTATACTGATGATCTTACTTTGTAAATTATGTAGACTTGAAATCAGTTTCATCGCTTATGGCGACAAATCATTTAGCTTCTGAAGTTTGAATATATCCCTCTGTATTTGTAGTTTTAGTTGACCTAAGTCCGAATTTAATGAATTTGAGCCGTGTCTCAAATCCTCCTAAAACCGGTTTCAATTGAGCGACGGCTTAAATCTTGAAACATTGAATACAATTTTAGGAGGAAACAACCATATTTAAGCCGCGGTTCAAATTCTTTTAATTCGGCCTCTATCTGTATCTATAGTTTTAGTAGACCCCTCTGTAGCTAAAATTTAACTAAATATATATATATATATCCCTCTGTATCTATAGTTAAAGTAGATATCTGTATGTATCTATAGTTAAGGTATATAATATACCCCTCAGTNGCCCTCTGCATCTACAGGATAAGTATATATATATATATCTCGGCCCTCTGCATCTACAGGATAAGTATATATATATATATCCCACTGTGTTAACGTTTTCTTTTTTTGAAAAACGATCGTTTCTTTAAAAAAAATGCAAAGAAAAATCAAGAACGAAACGATCGTTTTTAAAAACGATCGTTTTTTAAAAGTTCGTTTTTTAAAAATGGTCGTTTTTTAAACTCGTCGTTTCGTTACAGATCGTTAACGACGGCCATTCGTTAACGATCATTAACGAAGAGAGGAAACCGACCAAAAGGGCATCTGTACTTATCATTGAGTAGTTTTTAAGAAAATGTCTGGAAGTTTTAGATCCCACACAACTCTTTTACTTCTTGTAAGACGACATTCAAAAAATTTGTATGACATTTTTTTCGTTTTTCAAAAAACTACCGTTTTTATAAAGTTCGTCGTTTCGTTAACGATCGTTAACGACAACCCTTCGTTAACGATCGTTAACGATAACCCTTCGGTAAAGATCGTTAACATAATTGTCAATAACATTTTTTTCAAAAAACGTTCGTTTTTTTAAAAGCGATTGTTTTTTTAAAAACAATCGTATAAAAAACGGTCACAAATCGTTTTCATAAAACATGTATATATATCCCTCTGTATCTATAGTGTATGTATATATAACCCTCTGTATCTATAGTGTATGTATATATATCCCTCTGTATCTATAGTGCATATACTATATATACATATATATATCTTTCCCTCTGTATTGTATCTATAGTTTAAGTATATATATTTACCCCTGTATCTATAGTTTAAGTATATATATTTACCCCTGTATCTATGGATTGCAACCTGAGTAGTTTTGCCCCGGGACTTCAATGATGATATTTTCGTTCTAAACAAGTTCTCTTCAACCTTTGTTTAGATTTTACGATGGCAATTCACACTTGTCTACAGGCCACATTGATTACACTTGTTAGAACAGGAGAGGATTAATTACGGAGCTCATGTTCATAAAAATCAAGTTACATTCTAATGGGTGATGTCGGCCCGTAACATACGGAGTTTTTGTAGTGTAAGATTTATTTTTCCAAAAAGGAATTGAGTTTTTGCAGCAAACTCAGATTTTCTAACCCCTATGTCCTTGCAACCTAATGTCAAACTATGAATTCTGTCAGATCAAATTAAGCTAAGTTTGAAATACCACAGGTTTACACCATCAGGATTAAAGTTATAGGAATTAGAAAATTTGTTTTTGTGACAAAAACTCAAATCCAACATTGATCTAGTGGCTTATTTTTAAATCTTAATACAGCCTAGATTATTGAAGGAAAAAGAAATATATAATTTTTTAGGTGGGGGTGAACACATCTAAACACATCTTTTGACATATTTCGATTACTCTTTTCTATTTTTAATCTTGGTTCTGAAGTTGGGGAATAGATTTAATCTGCACCTGGTTAATGGTTAAATTTTTAATACACTGCAGACACAGTCTGATATTTATGATGTTATAGGGTAGGGTAGCTGAGCTAGGAGGTATTTAGGTATTTTTGATGGGAGGGGTGGCCAGGGAGAAGTAAGAATCAGAAAGCCATATTAATTTTATTTTTTAACTATGGTGTGTCAAAATTAAATGTAAATCGATCGTGGGGAAAGATCTAAAAGGAAAGCGGAATCTGATCTCTAAATGTCTAATGCCAACTGTCACCTTTATATGAAGTCTACTGACTGTATTCCAAAATCTCAATGGAATGACTATATGTATATTATAATGAATCCACTATGTACAGTTCTGTAATACTCTCTGAAGTCTTGAGTAGTCTCCTGAAGACAATGATTAGTCTTCCCTCATCTTTATTCTCTCCCACCCCTCCTCCCCTAATTTAGTCTTGTACGTGCTTCCTCCCCCTCCACCACCCTCCTTCAGGGGAGTTTCGGAAAGAGTTTTCAAACACTTTTATGAAGCATATGTCTCTGATTGTTTGACATGTATCTGTACTCTGTAGTTAAGAGAAAGAATAGTGGGCTGGAGGCGATTTAATGTGAAAGAGTAATAATATTAAGGTTGAATTGGGATGCTCAGCCCCCCCCCCCCCTTCAAGAAAACTTTTGCTCTTCCCCCTGTAGGCTTTTATAAAGTGGAAATTGTGGATTTCAATAAGAAATAAATATTCGCATGGAAGTCTTCGAAAAAGGAAAAAGTTCTCAGTGAAGGTGTGGGATGTTAATTATATTGGGAATCATTTACAATATATTTTAAAACTATT